ATTTATTTAGCTGCTGCATTTAAACTGATATCACGTTATTTACAAATTTCTTTATCTCAGAGCAGACACATGGTGCTGGTTAATTTTCTTGGAAAAGCAAGAAAAGTAGAAATAAGCTGGAACATCTTTCCCAAACATACCAAGTGTTGAAACCAGAAGCCAAGTACAATGTTGTATAAAGCTGTGACAGAAATGTTCATGCTTCTGCTGAGTACCTGGATGTTTAGTGTCAGTCCTTGATTTCCCAGGGCCCTTTTGTAACAGGCATGGAATTTCTGCCCAAAATTCTGCTTTTCCCACCTTTTCCTTTCTTTCATTTCCTCCCCCTGAACCCATCAGTGCACCAAGAAGCTGTTGATGAGAATATCAGCAGTGGTGTATTTTCCTTCATTTTCTAGTAGGGTATTCTCAGAAATTATCCATCAACCAGGCTACACGTAGAGCATTTATTGTCCAGCAGATCAAAATTAAATGCAGAGGAGCTGTCAGAAGGTGCAGGATGGGGGGAATGTACATCTGAAAGGTCCTGTAGTGTGTCAAAAAGTTAATTCAAGTAAGAAAAATGGAATTTTAAATCATGATCTTTGGCTTCCTGGAATGGAGATAATTTGCTGTGGTGAGTTTATAAATGTGTCAGGCTCACAGATTTTTCTGTGAGGACTGTAGCTCTCAGAGTTATTTTGGAAATCAGTATAAAGAGCTTCTGTTAGAGTAACTTGATGGTTTTAACTTGGTCTGGAAAAATGTTGCTATGGGGACAGAGCTGCAATGCTGGGCATTTGTGGCTGGCAGAGGGAGAGAGGCTGCACAAATGCTCGTGGCACTGGGGTGAGCTTATCAGGAGCTGCTTCCTTCACCCCTGAGCAGGATTAAGCTTTTATAGTTGGGGCTGTTTTCTGTCCTGTGTAAATTGTGGAGAACTGCATATTTATTTATGGAAGCAGAGCTTCTTATCGCAGGTGACAGCTGTGCTGCACCCCTGGGGGGACACGCCCCTGAGGTGTTTATTGGCAGCACCTGAGGACACCGGGCTGGCTGTGCAGGCTGAGCTCTGCCCCAGGGTGTTCACTCCACCCTAAAATCTCAATGCCTACCGAAAAGGTTTCGGTGTTAGACAGTCCAGCAGAGCAGGAGTTGGAAATGTGAACCAGGTGGCTGTAGAGAAATAGAGCCTACATTCCTCTGTCTTCACAGTTATTGTAAACATTAAATACTGCTTTCCTGAGGGTTTCTGGAAGGATCCCTGTTTCAGCTCATGAGCTTTGAAGTGGAATGTTGTGTTCCCTCAGGCCCACAGTGCAAGAAGATGGTGGAGATGTTATCTACAAAGGCTTTGAGGATGGCATTGTGCAGCTGAAGCTGCAGGGGTCCTGCACCAGCTGCCCCAGCTCCCTCATCACCCTCAAGAGTGGGATACAGAACATGCTCCAGTTCTACATCCCTGAGGTGGAAGGCGTTGAGCAGGTGGGTCAGGAGACATCACTGAGGTTTTCTTTCCTGGGGAAAAGGAGATCTTTGTCCCTTTCCAGCAGGGGCAGGTTGGCAGTTAGGGAAAACCAGGGGGGTGTGGATGCAGGGTTTCCAAATCAGCTGGAGAGCTCTGCAGGGTCCTGTGCCCAGAGCTGGACACACTTGCTGATACTTTTGTGCTTGGGTGACTTGATGTGATAAAAAGCAATGAGCTTTGTCCCCTGAAATGCAGATTCTTTGGGTTTCTCATGGAATATCTGATCTCTGGAGCCATTTTGTGGCCTTTGTGGTAGCTTGACCAGCTCCTGTAATTAAAGCTCATTTCCTCCTGGCATTTTGGATTGCCAGTTTTTCTTACCTTCCTCCTGAGCCCGTTGTTGTTCAGTGGTGTGGAATAACTGCTGTTCTCCTTGGGCCCAGCAGGGATTTAATGTAATAAATCCTGCAGGACTGAGAGCTTAACCTGTTTATCTAAACTACTTCTGGATTTGATTTCAGGTTGTTGACGACGATGATGACGTGGAGAAAGAAGCAAATTCTACTTGAGCTTCGTCATCTGTGGCCAAATAAACATTTACCTCCTGCTGCATGTAAACCATCTTTGTGCTGAGGAGCAAGCAGATCTGCCTTGCCAGAAAAACAGTTGTAGTTGCTGTGAGAATGCAGTTCAAGCAGTTCATCCACTAATTTATTAAATGCCCTGGATTACCAAAAGATTCTTCTGCTATGTCTTTAGAAAGAAATGGTGGGCTCAGAAAACAGTGATGTGTTTCTTTTTTTGGTTTTTCACACAGAAACTTCAGTACTGAAAAAAAAAGAGAAGGCAGAAGTTCCTTGGCTTTTTTTTGTGCAATAGCAATATTTAATGTTTATTCCCCCAACTTGTGAGACTGACAGGACTGTCTGCCCTTACTCTATAAATGGGAGCTTCAGGAATGTTAATTTTATCAAGTCTTGTTAAAAAGCTGCTGATTCCTATCATTTTTTTTGTGTGTGAAAGATAAGCTATAATATCAACTGTTCATTTTGGGGGATGTAACACTGCCGTGGCTTGTGGGAAGTTACCTCCTTGCTCATTACCACTGTGCAAACCATAGCAACAGAAACAAAAAACGTTTGTTATAAAAATCATACCTTCTAAAGCAAATGTTAGAAAGGAATGATCCTTATCAGCTTCAGTAAGTAGACTAATGAGCTCGTTTAGCAGTAAAATCGTTCAGCCACAGCTGATTTCTCAGCACTGGGAGGAAGGTGCAGTGCTGGAGGCTGCCTGTGCCGGGTGGCACGGGGAAGGAGGGCCGGTCTTTGTGCTTGCTCCTGCCACATCCTGTTTGCCTTGTGTGTGGCAGAGCAGGGCTCCTTCCAGCCCTGCACACCACGGCAGAGCAGTGTTTGTGTTCTGACGTTGGAACACGTAAATGGGGCTTTGCAAGGAGCTGTGTTTACTTTTGTGTGTGGGAATGATTTCTTCCTGGAGCCCGGCTTTGTGACCAGGAATTCTGTTCCTTTTTGCTGCCACCACGGAGCTGAGTTTGTGGTCCTCATTTGGCTTATGAGTGGCTTGACAGGTTCTGATTTGTTCCCCCCTTTCATCTCTTGCCAGTGTAATTATTCCACTGATAAAGTCCCTAAACAGGATCAGTTCAGCTGGTGGAGAATCTCCTCTACAGCACCACACCAGCATCTGGTAACCATAAACTGCCTATTGGTAAAAATTTGAAAATAAATATTTTAGCTAAATATTTATTCAGCTTTCAATAATAACCCGCAGTTGTTTGAATCTGGAAATCGGCGTGAAATCACCATGTTTTCTTTGACTCTCTGATGAAGCACTCGGTGCTGTTGATGACAGAATTCCCTGCTGCAGGGCAGGGAAGGAAAGGCAGGGGCAGGGTGAGCTCGGAGGGGAGCAGTGCTGCTGTGCCTGCTGCAGGGTGTGTGTTCCTGCCCCTCACACCCTCCAGAGCTCCGTGCCTGCTGCAGGGTGTGTGTTCCTGCCCCTCACACCCTCCAGAGCCCTGTGCCTGCTGCAGGCTGTGTGTTCCTGCCCCTCACACCCTCCAGAGCTCCGTGCCTGCTGCAGGCTGTGCCTTCCTGCCCCTCACACCCTCCAGGGCTCAGCGCTTCCCTGCACCTCGGCGATCGGCTCCCACTGCAGCGGGGCACTGCCTGCCGGCTGGAAATCGGGGATGGAGCGCTGAGAGTCCCGGGATCACCGCCGGGTTTGTCCCAGGGTGTCCTCGCTGTGGAACAAAGGCCGGGAGGGGGCTGCGGGCTGGCTGCAGGCTTCTCGTGTTCCTGAGATCCGGTGACCTTCTCCTCTCTGTCTGTGCCCGGCCAGGTTCCGGCAGCAAGCTCAAAATACCGTTCTTTTATGTGTCCTGACGTGGGTTGTTTTCTGTGCTTTTCAAGGAAATAGTTCCTTGTTGACATTTTAGTGTAATATAAAGTTGAATGAATGGCATTTCTCTTAAGGCATTGCTCCCTTTTGTAGCCTTAGGCTTTTAATAAGTTTCCAAGCAGGGTTTGACGGAGGTGGCTGCAGACAGACATCAGACAGAGCATCACTGAGCTCTCCAGCTGCACGGATGTCACGCCTTGGTCACTTACGCCTGTCCCAGTTTGCTTTGCAGATTCATCTTAATGCTTTCTTTCTCTTGCCTGTGAATGGGTGCTGTTGTAGAGTAGGGCTGGGGAAGGATGGAACCAGGGAGCCTGACTGGCCGCTGGTTCCCTGCCCTAGCCCGGAGCAGCCTTGGTTCATCACCCGCTGATCCCGTGGACGCTGAGTGCTGCGGGAGCGCCTGGGGCTGATCCCGGGGGTGCTGCTCCTGCCCGGCCTCAGGGGGATTTACCGGGGGGAACACCTCCCCTCCGCTGCCCGGGGCTGGGAAATACCGGGAAGGGTCTGGGAAAAGGGGATACCCTGTTCTGGGGTTGGGAATTACCGGGAAGGGACTGAGAACGGGAATACCCCGGTCTGGCGTTGGGAATTACCGGGAAGGGTCTGGGAAAAGGGGATACCCTGTTCTGGGGTTGGGAATTACCGGGAAGGGACTGAGAACGGAAATACCCTGTTCTGGCGTTGGGAATTACCAAGAAGGGACTGGGGAAAGCGACACCCCTGTATGGGGTTGGGAATTACCGAGAAGGGACTGGGGAAAGCGACACCCCTGTATGGGGTTGGGAATTCCGGAGAAGGGTTTAGGAACGAGCATCCCCCGGTCTGGGGTTGGGAATTACCGGGAAGGGATTGGGAACAGGCATTCCCCAGTCTGGGGCTGGGAATTACCAGGAAAAGTCTGGGAACGGGCATTCCCCGGTCTGGGGTTGGGAATTACCGAGAACCGTCTCCCCCCGGCCCGGGTCAGGGGGCTGGGAACCACCGGCTCGCTGAGGGAGCGGGCCCATCCCCGTGTGCCGGGGGTGTTTCCGCCGCCCGTCCCCCGCTTTGTCCGCCCGGCCCCCGCGGCGGACGCGGCCCCGGCAGCGGCTGCCACGTCCCGGGGCGGGCGGCNNNNTTTGCCTGGCGCGAGGGGCGCGGCCCCGGCGGCACAGACAGCGCGGCTGCGGACCGGGACGCACCATGTGCGGTGAGCACCGGGCCGGGGGCACGGCGGGGCCCGAGCCGGCGGGAGGAGCCGCCCGGGCGGGCGCTGTGAGGCCGCGGCCGGGCGGGGACTGAGGGCACGGCCGCTGTGGCGAGAGGCGGCCCGGCCCCGTTATCCCGAGTGCGGGCGGCGCGGGGAGGCGGCTCGCACCGTGCCGGTGGCTTAAAGGGCGAATCGCCGGCGGAGCGTGGGGATGTGAGGCGGCGGATAAAGGGCCGGTGCCCCGTGCCGTGCCCGGGCCGCTGGGGTTGCCTCGGGGCCGGGGGAGTCCCGGCGGGCAGGGCCGGAGGGAAGGGGCGCTCCGGTGGCGCTGCCGGCCGCGCTCTGCTGCTGCCGGAGGCACCGCTCCCGCTCGGGTGCCGGTGGTGGTTTTTAGGCGTTGCTAGTCCCGGTAATTTCCGCTGGTCAGGTCGGGCCGGGCTGGCTCGGTGTGGGACAGGGCGGCCGTGGGTCCGGCCTGGCCCGGCTGTGCCCGGACCGTGCCCCGAGCTCGGGCCGGTCCTGGTTCTGGTTCTCCTCTCCTTCCACTCCGCTTCCCATGGCAATGCGGCCACCCTGCCCCATCCTTCACACACAGGAATGTCATTTATTTATCCTTTTCCTATTCCGTTGTCTCCCTGTTTTTCCATGGAAATTTATGCAACAGCAATCTCTTGGATTTTCCTATTTTCTTTCCAGATTACCTTCTCTTTTTTCCCCCCACGCTGTATTTTTACGTGCAAAATCACGCTCTCAGAGAGGCTGTGTGTTTTACACTTAATGTGCAAGTTGCCATTTCTCTCATTGTTTTTGTGGGATGGAACCAGCGTTGCCTTCAAGCTGTCAAGCTGTGGAGAGTCAGTCAGAGGCTCGTACCTCAGCTCACATTTAACACCGTGTTAATTCGTGTTGAAAGTATAAAGCGGAGCAAAGCTAAGAATAGAGGAAAGGATAATTATTATTATAAATAGCTTGCTGCAAGAATAGAGGTGGTTTTGGTGCCTCTTGCTTGCCGTATTTGAGGTCCAGCCTTTGAAATGTGCAATATTAACATTCTGCTCTTTGTCTTTCCTGCCCTGAAAACACCGGGCAGTTCCTCAGCTGTGCTCGGGATTTAACGTGTTCCCCCCCCCTTTTTTGATACAAGTGAAGTTCTTCTTGGATATTGAAACATTTTATGGAGAGAGCACGAAAAGCATTGGGGATTATTGTCTCTGTTGCTGAGGGTTGCTCTGGGATATATCCTGGAGTGAGAGAGCTGCTGGTTTGTCTGGAGCAGGGTCTGATTCCCCAGGGCCTCAAACACAACATTTCTGTCATGGGATTGTGGCTAGGGATGGACAAACCTGGCTTTGTCCTGCCACCCACCTCGGAGTTTTATCCAATTCCCACAGAAAGGTTAAGATGAGTTTTAAAAGAAATAAATGTGACAGTGGTGCTGTTGTTACCTGAATTCTCAGATACCTCAGTCTGAAGGGATTCCAGCTTCCAGACTGGAATTACAAAGGCAGTGTTTTCAGCCTGGTTTCAGGTTTGTCACCTTACAAAATCTGATGGGCTGGTGCTGCTGGACAGGTGAAGGAAAGGAGCCTCCCAGTGCCTTGATGCCTGCTGTGAGCACTGTTTGGATGTGCTGGGGGTTTGTTTCTGACAGTGTCAGTGAAAAACAGGGTTTGGCCTTGGTTGTGTGTTAGACACCTGCAGTTTGAACACCTGGCCAGGTGTGAGCTGGGCGTGCTTTGGTCCCAGTGGTTCAATGGCATCTGTAAGATCATTCAGGAAACTGGTTTTTCCAGGGCTCCAGAGACCATTCTGTAAATCAGTAAACCTGTCACCTGCCATGGCTGGATTTAATGAGCAAAAGGGATTGTGGAGTTCAGGTCTGGGGCGGCAGAGTTCGGGTTTGGGGTGGCAGAGTTCAGGTTTGGGGTGGCAGAATTTGGGTCTGGGGTGGCAGAGCTCAGGTTTGGGATGGCAGAATTTGGGTCTGGAGCAGCAGAGTTCAGGTTTTGGGTGGCAGAGTTCAGGTTTTGGGTGGCAGAGTTCAGGTTTGGGGTGGCAGAATTTGGGTCTGGGGCGGCAGAGTTCAGGTTTGGGATGGCAGAGTTCAGGTCTGGGGTGGCAGAGTTCAGGTTTGGGGTGGCAGAATTTGGGTCTGAGGCGGCAGAGTTCAGGTTTGGGATGGAAGAATTTGGGTCTGGGGTGGCAGAGTTCAGGTTTTGGGTGGCAGAGTTCAGGTCTGGGGTGGCAGAGCTCAGGTTTGGGATGGCAGAGTTCAGGTCTGGGGTGGCAGAGTTCAGGTTTGGGATGGAAGAATTTGGGTCTGGGGTGGCAGAGTTCAGGTTTTGGGTGGCAGAGTTCAGGTCTGGGGTGGCAGAGCTCAGGTTTGGGATGGCAGAGTTCAGGTCTGGGGTGGCAGAGTTCAGGTTTGGGATGGAAGAATTTGGGTCTGGGGTGGCAGAGTTCAGGTTTGGGATGGAAGAATTTGGGTCTGGGGTGGTACAATTTGGGTCTGGGGTGGCAGAATTTGGGTCTGGGGTGGCAGAGCTCAGGTTTGGGATGGCAGAATTTGGGTCTGGAGCAGCAGAGTTCAGGTTTTGGGTGGCAGAGTTCAGGTTTTGGGTGGCAGAGTTCAGGTTTGGGGTGGCAGAATTTGGGTCTGGGGCGGCAGAGTTCAGGTTTGGGATGGCAGAGTTCAGGTCTGGGGTGGCAGAGTTCAGGTTTGGGGTGGCAGAATTTGGGTCTGAGGCGGCAGAGTTCAGGTTTGGGATGGAAGAATTTGGGTCTGGGGTGGCAGAGTTCAGGTTTTGGGTGGCAGAGTTCAGGTCTGGGGTGGCAGAGCTCAGGTTTGGGATGGCAGAGTTCAGGTCTGGGGTGGCAGAGTTCAGGTTTGGGATGGAAGAATTTGGGTCTGGGGTGGCAGAGTTCAGGTTTGGGATGGAAGAATTTGGGTCTGGGGTGGTACAATTTGGGTCTGGGGTGGCAGAATTTGGGTCTGGGGTGGCAGAGTTCGGGTCTGGGATGGCAGAGTTCAGGTTTGGGATGACAGAGTTCGGGTCTTGGGTGGCAAAATTCAGGTCTGGGATGGTACAATTCAGGTCTTGCTTTACTAGTGGTTCCTGAAGATAAAAATGGGCTTAGGAAAGACTTGAGTTTCTAGTTCTGGGGTTGCATTCAGCCCTTCCCCATCTGTTACCCCTGGTGTCTGCCTTGGAGAGGAGCACGGAGCTGTGGCTCAGTGAGTCCTGCAATTGCTGCTCTGGTTGTTTACTCTGGGCAGGAGAAATCCTGACTTTTTTAGCTGGAGAGGGAGCGTGGGCAGCGAGAGAAGTGTCCAGTGGACAAATGTGGATCCCCACTGGGTGGATGTTTGTCTGGTTTTGCTTTTTTTTCCCAGCCTGGAGGTGATGAATTGAGTGTCAGCTCTCCCCAGACATAACAGTGCCAGCGAGCTTGGCCTGACTTTTGCTCCTCAGACTGGGCAGAAAAAGGGATGGTTTGGGGCACAGGGCACCTCCAGGAGCTCCTCCAGCAGGGCTGAGCAGCAGTTCTGGGATAAAGGATTCCTGGGAACTGCCAGGTGGATGTACTGATGACAATGTCTATGGAAATGAGTTAACAGTAATAGGAAAAGGAATTTGGAAGTAAACCCAGCCTGAAGGCTTTTCTGCTTTTGTAGGGAAAGGATTGCAAGAAGCAATTCCTTCATGTATCTCAGTCATTTACCTGCAAGGGGTGATGCATTTCATTTGCCTGTGAAGGTGAAATTAAGGAAGCTGAGCTCCAAAAAAGTTCATGGGGAAAATAAAGTTCTCAGAAAAAGTATTGTGACTGTCAGCTATAGAAATCAATAATGCCCGTTTGTTGGAAATGTTATTCTGTTAAAAGTGCCAACTCTTTATAGGGAATTCTTTATGTAGCTGGTGTTCAGAAGGCCTAGGATTTGTGCTTGAATGTTAAAAATCAGCTCCATGAGTGAGCTGAGTGTCAGAAGCAGCTGAATGCCTGTTCTGGTGGTTCCCCTGGTGGGATGTTTAAGGCAAACCTGCAAGAAAGGAAATGCTTTATATTCCAGATGATATTATTGTTCAAGGTATTTCACTGGAGAGAACTTATTACCGTGGATCTCAGCGTGATTCAAGAGCTGTCTGTGAGCTGACGTGCTTTGAGTTGCTCTTTCCAGTCCACACATGCAAAGTCCTGTGTGGGGCTAGCAGCTGAAATGTTTTATTGTGCTGTGAAGTGTCACTGCTGTTCTCACTCTGAGTTGTGCTGGGGTTGAGTCCTGAGTTTGTCAGTGTGCTCCAGACAGGGGAGTTGTGTTTTCTGCCAGCTGGGGATCCCTGCACACCTTGCTGCTCTCCTCTTGCAGCTGGGAATTCTCAGTTGCAGGGCTGGAGGAGGAGGAAGTTCCCAGGGCTGGGTTTTTGTGTCATGTGCATTTTGTTTCACCTCCAACAATGGCAGCTCAGGGCTGGGCAAGGCAGAGTGATTTACTGTCACTGGAGATCCTGGTTTTCTGGAGTGCTTCCTCTTGCAGGTCGGTTCTGCAGTGTCACAGAGGGCAGCTGTGGAAAGCATTGCCTGGAAAGGCATCTAAATGTGCACTGAAACCAAAACTCCTCTTTGGGTCTGCTGGGGACCCGAAACTCAGCTCTGGGGAACGTTCTGCTCCGAGTTCGTGCATCTTCAGCAGCTTTCATCCAGGCTGGTGGGGCACAGCTCCTTGGAATTCCACCCAAACCAGCGTTTCCATTGGGTGGTTTCAAAGAGCTGTCACTCTGAGGGAGAAATTGTCACTCCTGAGAGGGCTCCTGGCACAGCTCTGTGCACTTGGTGTCTTCTCATGTCAAAGTTGATTTGGATGTCAGCTCAGGGAGGGGGAGAGCAAGGCTTGAACAGGGCACTGTGGCTCTGGGGTGTGACAAAAGCCTTTTCTGGGCTGGGAAGGGCATTTGGGAACTGGATTTAAAATTAGAAGTGGTTACAAGGTGTGACTGCTCAGATGTGAATGATCCAGTGGTTAAGAGACAGAGAAAATGCTGTTTTCTACATGGGGATTCAAACTTTCCCCAGCTATGAGGTATTACATCATTACAGGATGTTTGGAAAAGGGAAAATGAAACACATTTGTAAATATTTCCAACAAATGAAGTTTATTTACACATAGTTCATCGTGATAAGTATCACAAATGGGTGATAAGCCTTCAAATATTGGATATTAGCCTGCAGATTAGTAAATCATGCATTTAGGAAGACTTGTGTTCTTTTACAGGAGCCTTATGGTCTCACTTTTTACTTTAATTATGCATCATTTAAGCATATTCTATTTTTATTTTATTTTTTCCCGATTTCACCAGGTGAGTTTTAAACATCCCTGTCTTACTTGCCTTCTCATTTGTAAAATAGGTTGCTCACAGATGAGTTCTTAGGATTTCATTTTCCCAGTGGCATCTCCATTATCAATCTTGCTATTTTCCTCTCAGGATCTAAAAGCTGAAGTGAATCAAAAGTGGATCTCCCAGGGTCTGGTTTTTGGAAGAGCATGTCCATATTTCACAGCATTAACACTGCATTTGTGTTTCTTCTGGTCTCCTTAGTTTTCCTAGTGTGTTTTCTGAGAAGCACTGAATTCCTTGGGTTGTTTTTTTGGGAGGATTGGGGGTTTTTCATGGCGTTCTTAGCCTTGAATTCAGGTTTTTTTTTTCCACAGGCCTCATGAATAATGTTAATATAATTGTGCTGTAATTAATAGCTGTTTTCAGTGCCAAGCTGGCTCCTTCCTGGATGGGTGTTCAGTGTTTGTTTGCAGTACAGGCAGGGATAAACACTCTGCTTTTCCCTCTGCTCCCAGCTGGGCCACCCCTCCCTGTGGGGAGCCACTGTCACTTTGTGCCCATTTTGTTGTGCACTGCCAGCATTTGGGATCTGGGACGAGGAGCCAGGGTTTGGGCTCTTGGTTGGGGTTTTTTTAGTTCAGGTGTGACTGAGCTTGCTGAAATCTGCGGAGAAAACAACGTCTGAAGTCAGTGTCTGTTTTTGGTTCAGATCTAGCCAAGGTGGCACTGATTCTCCTCTCCCCACGCAGGCATCTTTGCTTACCTGAACTACCATGTGCCCAGGACGAGGAGGGAGATCCTGGAGACCCTCATCAAGGGGCTGCAGCGCCTGGAGTACCGGGGCTACGACTCTGCAGGTACCTCTGAGCTCTGCGGGGGCTCTGCCCTTTCTGGGGGGCTTTGTTGTCAATGGTTTCTGCCACCTTCTGCTGCTGAAGAGAGCTGGAGCACAAACTGATGTGCCTGTGGTCAGAGGTTTGGATTAACTTCAATGTACAGGTTTCTATAAGCATTATTGATGGTTTTTTTTTGTTTGTTTTTTTTTTTCCCCAAAGGCTTAAAAAATACTGACAAGATGACAAAGGGAAAGCTTAGTTCTAATCTAAAGGGTTTCTTGCCTTTATGTGGCAGGGCAGCTCTTGGAGAAAGGGCTCAGGAAGAATCAAAAAGGGCAGAATTTGTTGATATAAAACACTGCAATAACTTCTGCACTTGACCCTCTTTCTCCATGTTCCACGGGGGGGTTCAGGTGTGGGACTGGATGGAGGAAATGACAAAGACTGGGAAGCCAATGCTTGCAAAATCCACATTATCAAGCAGACGGGGAAAGTGAAGGCTCTGGATGAAGAGGTTCACAGTAAGTATCTCCCTTTCCTCATTTTTGTTTTGAATATCCCCTGTTTTACCCACAAACCTGAATTTCCAGAGGTGTAAAGCTCAGGGATGAGCTGTGAAGAGCCTGCTGATCCAGGCTTGGGTTCTTCCTTAAAGGGCTGCTTTTTGTTTTGACAGAGTGAGGAGTGCAGGGATGTTTTCTGTGTGTTTGCTCTCAACCCCCTTGAGGTTTTGGTTGGCCTTTGTTGATCCTAAAGGTCTTTTCCAGCCTTGATTCCGTGAAATCCCTGTGGGATTTTGCCAGCATTGCTGTCCCGTATCCCCGAGGCCTGGTGAGACTCCCAGGCTGACCTGGGGTGTGGACAACCCCTCAGGGCTGAAACTTTCTGCTGCAGAGCAACAGGACATGGACCTGGACATCGAGTTCGACGTGCACCTGGGCATCGCCCACACGCGCTGGGCCACGCACGGCGAGCCCAAACCTGTGAACAGCCACCCGCAGCGCTCCGACAAGAACAACGGTCAGTGCCTTCCCTGGGCTCCCCTGCAGCCCCTCCTGGGGCCTGGGATCCTCTGCAGCCTCTCCTAGGGTCCTGGTAGGATCCCCTGCAGCCCCTCCTGGGGTCCTGGGATCCTCTGCAGCCTCTCCTAGGGTCCTGCGATCCTCTGCAGCTCCTCCTGGGATCTGGGACCCTCTGCAGCCCCTCCTAGGGCATGGGATCCTCTGCAGTCCCTCCTGGGACCCTGGGATCCTGTGCAGCTCCTGCTGTGGTCCTCTGCAGCCCCTCCTGAGCCCTGAGATCCCCTGCAGCCCCTCCTGGGATCCTCTGCAGCCCCTCCTGGGATCCTCTGCAGCCCCTCCTGGGGTTCTGGGATCCTTTGCAGCCCCTCCTGGGATCCTCTGCAGCCCCTCCTGGGGCCTGGGATCCTCTGCAGCCCCTCCTGGGGCCTGGGCTCCCCTGCAGCCCCTCCTGGGGCCTGGGATCCTCTGCAGCCCCTCCTGGGGTCCTGGGATCCTCGGCAGCCCCTCCTGGGATTCTCTGCAGCCCCTCCTGGAGCCCCTGGAGAGCTGCTGGCTGCCTGGGGCTGAGCAGGGCTTTTCCTCTGTCCCCAGAGTTCATCGTCATCCACAATGGCATCATCACCAACTACAAGGACCTGAAGAAATTCCTGGTGAGTGACCCCTGGGGGTGAGAAAAGAAGAAAAAAAGAAAAGGAAAGGGAAGGAAAAGGAAAGGTGAGGGAGGAACGCAGGAGCAGAGGAAGGGAAAAGCATGAGAAAAAGAGGGAAGAAAAAGCCAAAGGCAAGGTGAAGGGAAAGGAGTAGTAAAAGCAAGGAAAGGGAAGGTGGGAAGGAGGGGAGGCAGAGGGCTGGTGACCCACAGGGCTGTCCCACAGGAGAGCAAGGGCTACGACTTCGAGTCGGAGACGGACACGGAGAGCATCGTCAAGCTGGTCAAGTACATGTACGACAACCGCGACAGCGACGACATCAGCTTCTCCACGCTGGTGGAGAGGGTCATCCAGCAGCTGGTAACGCTGGGGGCACGCAGGGAGGGCAGCTGGGCATGGGCACAGGGGGCACACACCCCCAGAAATACCCCCTGCACCCCGGAGCTGGCAGGGAGCTGCAGCGTGGCCGTGCCGCTGCTGCGGGGGGCTCTGGGCACCTGCCAGGGCAGGGCTTTGTCTCTGCTGCCTCTGGCTGCTCAGCTCAGGTGTGTGTTTGGTTTTCTGGGAGGTTTGTCAGTGTTCAGCTGGGAAATGGCTCTGGAGGCTGCCAGCTCCTGGCTGGGGTGGTGGGAGTGGGGAGGGAGTCTGTGCTGCTCCCAGTCCTTCCCAAAACCCCAGCCAGGGAGAATCTGTGCTGCTCCCAGTCCTTCCCAAAACCTCTGCCTGGGAGAGTCTGTGCTGCTCCCAGTCCTTCCCAAAACCCCTGCCTGGCAAAGTCTGTGCTGCTGCTAGTCCTTCCCAAAACCCCAACCTGGCAGAGTCTGTGCTGCTGCCAGTCCTTCTCAAAACCTCTGCCTGGGAGAGTCTGTGCTGCTCCCAGTCCTTCCCAAAACCTCTGCCTGGGAGAGTCTGTGCTGCTGCTAGTCCTTCCCAAAACCTCTGCCTGGGAGAGTCTGTGCTGCTGCCAGTCCTTCTCAAAACCTCTGCCTGGGAGAGTCTGTGCTGCTGCTAGTCCTTCCCAAAACCTCTGCCTGGGAGAATCTGTGCTGCTCCCAGTCCTTCCCAAAGCCCCTGCCTGGCAGAGTCTGTGCTGCTCCCAGCCCTTCCCAAAACCCCTGCCTGGCAAAGTCTGTGCTGCTCCCAGTCTGTCCCAAAACCCCTGCCTGGGAGAGTCTGTGCTGCTCCCAGTCCTTCCCAAAACCCCTGCCTGGGAGAGTCTGTGCTGCTCCCAGTCCTTCCCAAAACCCCTGCCTGGGAGAGTCTGTGCTGCTCCCAGTCCTTCCCAAAACCCCAACCTGGCAAAGTCTGTGCTGCTGCCAGTCTTTCCCAAAGCTGCTCCCAGTCCTTCCCAGAGCTCCATCATTCCAGGGATTGCTGCTGACCCCTGCTGGGAGCTGCTCTGCCTCCAGTGCCTGCTTGTGTGCAGGAGCAGGACCCACCACAGCTCCCCTCTCACCCACAGCACTCAGCTGGGTTTTCTCTGGGTTACCTGCCAGGAACTCGTGTTGCTGGTGGGTTGTGACACCTCAGCTGAGCAAACACCCTCAAGTTTGGTGCTGCTTTTGGCAGATCTTTGCCTCTGCAGGTCCCCTCACTGCACCCTGAGCTAAGGCAGGAGCCACTTGGGTAACCAGGGGAGTCTGGGTGTCTCTGGGGTTCAGGAGGCTCGTTCAGTGGCTGAGGATGTGCTGCCAGGCTCAGGGCAGGGACATCCTTCCAGGATGGTGGGGCTGGAGCTACAGGCAGTTCTGGAAACATCTGTGAAACCTCTTTGGTGTCTCTTCTGCATCCACAAAAGCACAGGAGCAGTTTCTGTGCTGGGAACACTGAGACAGTGCCCGGGCCTCAGCTGAGGGGATAAACATTTGTTTGTCTTGTTGCAGGAAGGTGCTTTTGCCCTTGTGTTCAAGAGTGTTCATTACCCTGGGCAGGCAGTTGGTACCAGGTGAGTGTTGCCATGGGAAGGAACATTCTTGCACCCTATCTGACACTTGTTTTTGTACCCCCAAGTTAGAAGACAGAGTGGAGATCATTCTCATCACACTGTATGTGCTGGGGAGAGGGTGGTTGTTTTTTTAAATTTCCTTTATCTTGTTTTCCATCTGTCATAACAGAAAGTTCCCAGAATTATTTTGGAAATTTCTTACTGACCAGCTGTACCACACCTGGTCTGGAACAGCTTTGTTTTGGTATCCTCTGGGTATGACCTGAAAGGAGAGGATTTTCCCTTTTCCTTTGTGCTTGCCCTTGTGGCAGCACTTGGATGAGTCCTCCACGTGGCCTGGAATTTGGGCCAACCTTGTGTTCAGGTTTTCTGTCCCACTTTTCAACACCAGCATCAGCTGGGCTTGAGCTCCAGTGGCAAAAGCAGTGTGTGGGTGTGTGCAGTGAGGGGCAGTCCCTGGTTCAGGGGTGCAGTGACTCTGGGGAAGTTTCTCCAACCCTGATGCAGGTTCCTCACCTTCTTGTGTTCCTTCTTGTGTTCTTCATCCCATGATTGTTTCACTGTCTGTAGCAGCTGCTCTGGGGGGGCTCTGGCTGTGCCCTGCTGCAGCTGAGGGGGGCAAAAGGCCGGGGTGGGGGTGTCCCCAGGGGCTGAGCTGTCCCTGTGTCCCTGCAGGCGAGGCAGCCCCCTGCTCATCGGCGTGCGCAGCGAGCACAAGCTGTCCACGGACCACATCCCCATCCTGTACCGCACAGGTGAGAGTGACAGCCCCAGCCCTGACCCCAAACCCAACCCTAAACCCCAACCCCATCCTGTACTGCACAGGTGAGAGTGACAGCCCCAACCCTGACCCCAAACCTCCCCCAAACCCCCAACCCTAACCCAAATCCACAGCCCACATCCCATCCTGTACCGCACAGGGGAGAGTGACAGCCCCAGCCCTGACCCCAAACCCAACCCTAAACCCCAACCCCATCCTGTACTGCACAGGTGAGAGTGACAGCCCCAACCCTGACCCCAAACCTCACCCAAAACCCCAACCCTAACCCAAATCCACAGACCACATCCCATCCTGTACCGCACAGGTGAGAGGGGACAGCCCTAACCCTGACCCTAAACCCCAACCCTAACCCCAGCCCTAACCCTGGGCCTCCAGGGCACGCACAGCTGTGTGCTCTGAAGTGCAGCTTTCAGCTGGTAATCAGAAATGAAACCATTGTTAGAGATGTTTTTTTTTTTTAAAACAAGTTGTTAACCACGCTTTCTACCCACCTCATACCTCGGGCTGGCCTCTGGGGTTGTAACCACAGCTTTAATGTGCAGTTACTGTGAGGAAAATACATCTTAGTATAGAAAAATAAAGTCATGGAATGGTTTGGGTTGGGAGGGACCTTAAAGCCCATTTTGTTCCAACCCCTCTGGCAGGGACACCTTCCACTGTGCCAGGGAGCTCCAAGCCCTGTCCAGCCTGGCCTGGGACACTCCAGGGCTGTTGGAGCAGCTCAGTATAGGAAATTAAACAGTGCAGCTCAGCAGAAGTCTGTTCTGCCTGTGGCACCTTGGCATTTGTGAGCCTGGTGCTTTTCAGGAGCAAAGAGGAGAGAGCTTTGCAGGCTGTCCCTTGGCAGTGGCACAGCCCTGGTTTGTCCCTTGGCAGTGCCACAGCCCTTGCCTGTCCCTTGGCAGTGCCACAGCCCTGGTTTGTCCCTTGGCAGTGCCGCACCTTGGCATTTGTGAGCCTGGTGCTTGTTTGTCCCTTGGCAGTGACACAGCCGTGGTTTGTCCCTTGGCAGTGGCACAGCCCTGGTTTGTCCCTTGGCAGTGTCACAGTCCTTGGCAGTGCCACAGCCCTTGCCCCTGCCACCCCACCTCATTTGTGGGAGCTGTCACCCTTCATGGGACAATGCCTGGTCATGTTGTCTGTCCATCCTGCTCTCACAGCACCACAGACACCCTTGAGAATGAAAAGTACTGAGAATTTCTCTGTAATTCACTGTGGTCAGAGGGGTCTGAGCCTGCTCAGTGCCTGGGAGCTGGACTTGTGTTCTGAGCAGAGCAGGGGTCCCAGGAACTGCTCTCCTGTCCTGCTGCAAGAGCCAGTCCCAGCAGCTTTGCATTTTCATTGCATGATTAGCAGTAACGTGAATGTATTTATGTAACACTGTGTTTTTTTACTGAATATCTCAAATTTGGTTTGTTTGTTTTTTTTTTTTTTTTTCCAATTGCACTTCCAGCCGTACAATCTATGGATCATTCTTTTGATGGAATATCCATAAAAATGGAGGAAGGTGCCCACCAGAGAAAAGCTAACACTTGAAATTTCAGACAAATCCTCCACTCCTTAGAAAAGGAATCATGAATGGGACCAAGATGCATTGTCTCTTTAATATGTGGCTATTGCTTTCTGTGTAGTGTAATGAAACATGTGGGAAAATCAAAATGCCTTCTTGATCAGAAACACCATGAGCAGCACACAGGAAAATCCACCCATCCCACTTCAAATATTGGGACATAATGCTCAGCATATGTGCAAAAACTGATGACAGTGCAGCTTGTACTGAGTGTTCCTGCAGCTCTGGCTGCAGAAGGAAACAGTGAATTACCTTAAAAATAACCCCCACTAAAGCAGGAGGCTGCTGCTAATCCTAATGCAAGCATTGCCCAAAATTCCTTCTGGAGTTTGGGTTGTCAGAGCCCTGTCCTCCCCCTGGCCATGGTGAGAGGCTGAGCTGCAGCCTCTGGTGGCTGCACTAAGCTTGGCCTGAGCTGGGCCTTCCTTCCCTGTTAATTTATCAGGGGGAACCATCTGTTCCTGTCCTGAAGTGCTTTAAAGGCCAGCCCATCACATGGTGGGATGGAGCAGCTCACATCTGAGGCAGCAGAGCCCTTTTCTGTGAGGGGGAGGATGTGCTTGCATCTGCAGAAGCTGTCGTGCAGGGAAGCAATGCCACATAATGAAGCCAATGCAGGGAAATGCTCTATTTTGAGAACCCAAATTTGCATGTTCTGATCAGGTCTGGGTGCTTCTGTGGGGGAGTGGCCACTGGCAGCTCTGCTCTGTCCCTTCTCAACACCAAATCACTCTGTCCTGTCTCAGCTCAACAACAAAGGCATTGTTTTCCTCATTTACTGACTTGATAACTGAACTGGAAGGCTCTGAATCACTGCCTGAGTGGGCCTTTCTCACTGAGTATCAACATGAAAGCAGTATTTTTCCTTCACATTTTCATCTGCAGAAGTGGAAGCCGGAGCACCACGAGCTCTGCTTGCATCACTGAATCAGATCAGTGTCTAGAAGGTGAAACAACATCAGGATTGTGCAATAAATATAGCATGGAGTAACTTCAGTGTTCCTGTTCTTCAGCAATAGCCCCATTTTGGGAGATAAGCTGATTAATCCACCCCCTCCCTCCCCATACCCTGCACAATGACTGGCAAATAATTTTGCTGGAGGCTGGTGCCGAGCAGTAGGTGTTGGGTGCCTCATCTGCATCCCTGATGAGCTTCACCGCTGAGCAGCAGTTTGGAGGAGGAGGAGGAGATAGTTGGGAATTTCCAGAGTACTCCAGAAAAGATCCCTGGTGAAAGGCTGAACTTTGAGGACGGATTTTTCCAAAGCTGGCTCTCAGTCCTGTGTCCCCCAGCACCCCTGGGTACCTCCCTGGCAAGAGCACAGGGGTGTTTTCCTGGTCAGGGTGAGGTGGCTGCTAGTGCAGGAGCAAGGCCGAGCTCTTCATCCTGGATTTCCTGAGCTGTGTCTGCCAGTGAGCTCAGGCAGACAGAAATTGGTTTGGGTTTCACCTGTGCTGCTCAGGGGAGCTGGGGGGGCACACAGGTGGCAGCTCTGAAAGAATTCCCCCAGTGCTGAGGGTAACAGACAAAGAAAGAGCAGTGCTGCTCCATCTCTGGGGGCTCAGCAGAGAGGAACAGAGGAGAAACTTAAAATGATCTAAAACAAAACAGGGCAGGTTTAATGGGGAAATGTGGCTGCTCATAAAGCACCTTGAATTCTCTGCCAGTGGAGCCATACAAAACTTTAGTTTGGATTTTTCTCTTCCTCTAAACTTCAGACTGCACTAGTAATACACTTGCAGACTTCTTAAAAAGCAGCAAAACTCTTGCAAGCCAGCTGAGGATGGGCACAGGTGCTGCTGTTCCTTTTGCTGTGCTCACCTGCAGGCATGAAAATAGTGCTTCATGTTGGTACCGTGCTTTGGGGGCTCTGCTGGGTGTCACCTGTGCCCAGGGCTGTCACCTGGGCAGCCCCTGAGCCTCCTGTCTCCTAGGGAAGGACAAGAAGGGGAGCTGCAACCTGTCCCGGGTGGACAGCACCACCTGCCTCTTCCCTGTGGAGGAGAAAGCTGTGGAATATTACTTTGCTTCTGATGCCAGGTAGGGTTTTCCAGCATCTCTGGTGTGTGTAGAAATATCCTGTTTAATGGCCTCTGGAAGGCTGGGGTTTCTTTGTGAATTACTTTACAAATTACTTCACAAATGCTAACCAGAACAGAGTTGCTGTTAAAGTAATGAGCACTGGCCTTGGAATAGAGTGTTACCATTCTTCAGGCTCATCTGTTGGTAAGATTTCCCAGGGAAAGGAAACCTGAGAGAGTCCTGACCTAAATTAGCAGGCCAGGTGCTAATTATGAGGAGAATTGTGTTGATTCTCCAGGGATCTCTGCACACATGCAATTCCTTCATGATCAGAGTTAATCCCAGAGGAGTGAGGAGAGACCAGCTTGGCAGCAGCCTTAGCAGAGTTTTTGGGATTCTCTGGTTCAAGAGAAATGAGAAATGCTTGCTCCAGGAATGTAAAAACACTGCTGTGCTTGGTTTCTGCAGCTCCTTCCATCAGAGGATTGTGGAGGCTCTCAGCACACCCTGATGTGCTCTGGTTTTAGAGCTTTTCAGTGACACTCCAGGTGTGCTGCTGAGCAGATCTCAGGTGCCTTACCAGGGCACAAAACTGCCCTGGTTTTACAGATGGGCAGAGAAAATTACTAATGAAAATTAATAATGAGCCAGCTAATATATAATATATTACATATCCTAGTAGTATAGTATAATATAGCACATATATACTATATAATATAGTATAATATATATCTTAATAGTATAATATAATAGAGTATATATTACATACTATATAATACAGTATAATATATATCTTAATAGTATAGTATAATATATGTACTATATAATACAGTATATTGGATATCTTAATAATATAGTATAACATAGTTATATACTATATAATATACTATATATAATATATATTACACTATATAATATAGTGTAATATATATTTTGATAGTATAGTATAATATACTATATATTATATACTATATAATACAGTATGATATATTATATATCTTAATAGTATAGTATAATAGAGTACACATTATATACTATATAATACAGTATATTATATTAAATATCTTAATAGTATAGTATAACATAGTATATATTATATACTATATAATATAGTATATTATATACCTTAATAGTATAGTATAATAGAGTACATATTATATACTATATACTATATATTATAATGTACATCTTAATAGTATGGTATAATATAGCTCAATAAAGCGATGGATCAGCCTTCTGCAATCATGGAGCCAATGCTAATTATTCCCTTTGTGGCACCGTTGCCAGGACAGAGATGCACTTTGCAGGGTTTAACTGAGCACCCACCTCTGGGGGTGCAGGGGGGCTGCGGTGCCCGAGCAGGCTGTGATGTCCCCGTGTCCCCACAGCGCTGTCATCGAGCACACCAACCGCGTCATCTTCCTGGAGGACGACGACGTGGCGGCCGTGGTGGACGGCCGTCTGTCCATCCACCGCGTCAAGCGCACGGCCGGCGACCACCCGGGCCGGGCCGTGCAGACCCTGCAGATGGAGCTGCAGCAGATCATGAAGGGTGAGAGCCCTGCCTGCCTGCCTCATGGGGCTGCAGGCACCCCGTGCCACCCCTGCCCCAGGTGGGGACAGCAGCCTGGAGCATCTCCAGAGGTGCCACAGCCTGGTCTGGTGCTGGGTCGTCCTCATGGGGAAAAAAGTCCTTACATGTCATGGGACTTCCCTCTAGTCTGGAGTTGTGGGGCTGAGGATTCTGCCTCCTGCTTGGGGGCAAAATGCTCAGCTTGGGGCTGCAGTCACCCTGTGCCACCCCTGCCCTGAGTGGGGACAGCAGCCTGGAGCATCTCCAGAGGTGCCACAGCCTGGTCTGGTGCTGGGTCGTCCTCATGGGGAAAAAAGTCCTTACATGTCATGGGACTTCTTCTCTTGTTAATGATACCTTACTGAGGAGAGTTGTGGGGTTGAGGATTTTGCCTCCTTGGGGGCAAAATGCTCAGCTTGGGACTGGAGTCACCCTGTGCCATCCCTGCCCCAAGTGGGGACAGGCTCTGCTTTGGTCTGGACAGAGGTGCCACAGCCTGGTCTGGTGCTGGGTCGTCCTCATGGGGAAAAAAGTCCTTACATGTCATGGGACTTCCCCTCTTATTGTTGATGCCTTACTGAGGAGAGTTGTGGGGCTGAGGATTTTGCCTGCTTCTTGAAACCATCTGGTTTTTAACCAAGACTGATCCCTCACAAAGTTGCCAGTCTGGATCTGCCCTTCACTGACACCTTCCAGAAACTCGAATCAAACTCTCATCATGAGCTGGTGTTTTGACAGAAAATCAGAAAATTTAATAATCTTTGGCTGGTCCAAGCTTTTCTCTACATACACAGGAAAAATGGCAATTAGCAGGAGGTAATTTAAAATTTAAGTTATCAGGAGATAAAGTGTTCTAATTTGTTTTCTCTCTTTCTTCATAGGTAACTTCAGCTCATTCATGCAGAAGGAAATATTTGAACAGCCAGAATCTGTTGTTAATACCATGAGAGGAAGGGTCAACTTTGATGATTACACTGGTAATTGAGCTTGATCCCCACTCAGTGTCCAGCAGTTGCTCAGGGTGGCTGCAGGAGAGGGAGGGGGTGGAAACCTTGCTGGGGTCAGATGAAATGTGTGTCACAGTGCCTCCAGAGTTCCCTGTGCTGCTGGCAAGGTCCCACTTGTGATGGTTTTCTGCACAGTGGGTGATGGAGATGGTGACAGGCTGTTAGCACCGGTGACCTTGGGAGCTCCTCGTCCCTGGCCACCCTGATTTGTCTCTCTGCTCTGCCCACAGTGAACCTGGGTGGGCTGAAGGATCACATCAAGGAGATCCAGAGGTGCCGGCGTTTGATCCTCATCGCCTGTGGCACGAGCTACCACGCAGGAGTGGCAGTGAGTGCTGGGCCCAGAGCCAGAATCAGGGGTGGGGTGGGCTGCAGGGACCTCAGAGCCCACCCAGTGCCACCCCTGCCATGGCAGGGACACCTCCCACTGTCCCAGGCTGCTCCCAGCCCTGTCCAGCCTGGCCTTGGGCACTGCTAGGGATCCAGGGGCAGCCACAGCTGCTCTGGGCACCTGTGCCAGGGCCTGCCCACCCTCTCAGAGAAGAATTTCTTTCTAGTCATCTCATCTAAGTCTACCCTTTCTCAGTTTAAAGCCATTCCCCTCTGTCCTGCCACTCCAGCCCTTGTCCCATGTCCCTCTCCAGCTCTCTTGGAGCCCCTTCAGGCCCTGCAGGAGGCTCTGAGCTCTCCCTGGTGTGTGCCAAGCAGATTAAGGATTGATTTCAGGTTAGGGATTGGTTCTTAACCTTAATCAGGTTAGGAGTAAGCAAGTGCACACAGGTGAGTGAAGGAGGACCCTTGTGAAAGCTGCAAACACCAGGCTGAGTTCACAGCAGCAGCAGGAGGAGATAAAAGCTGATGAAGCTGAACTTAGGGAAGTGGTTCCTGTGACTTCCATGGCTTTGGAAGGCTTTGGAAAACAAAAAGGCAGCTGCAGGAGCAGAATGCAAAGGCTGCAGCAAGGCAGGGGCTGCTGGCAGCCAGGTGGGGTCCAGCTGGGCCTGGATGTAGGTGGGCATTTGGGTTCTTCAGGCTGGGACACACACAGGACACCCAGCATTACATCATTTATGGAGGGTTATATAACAAGTAGGACTTACTTAGAGAAATCTCCATGTGAGGGAGCAGTTGGCCCCACAGGCCAATGTGTTTTCCCCCCATCCCTCCCAGCCCAGGTGAATTTTTATTAACCAGGAAAATAAAGTTGGTGGTGGTGCCAAGGCAAGGTTGGCTTCTCACAGGGGTTGGTGGTGACTTGAGTGTGGGCAATATGAGTAATTAAAGTGTAATGCAGCACTAATTGTCATATAGGGTTTTAACAGTAACATTTTCCAGCGTGTGTGGCAGCTAGAAAGCTTTTTTTTTGCTTTTATAAACATGATGTAATAATCCCTGCCTTCCTTCCCCTCCTGCGCCAGACCCGCCAGGTGCTGGAGGAGCTGACGGAGTTACCTGTCATGGTGGAGCTGGCCAGTGACTTCCTGGACAGGAACACCCCCGTGTTCAGGGACGATGTGTGCTTCTTCCTCAGCCAGTCAGGTACTCCTGGGCTGCCCTCCCTGCCCAGAGCCCAGGGGGAGGCAGCAGGGCCCGGTTTGGAGCCTCTGTGGGGTGGGCTTGGTGCCTTGGCAAGGCTGACCTGGAGCAGAGTTACAGAATAAAGTCGGGATTTGTTAAAATCTCAATGGATCCACCTTGGGCAGCACAGCAGCCAGGAAACAAATCAAGTTGATTTTTGTTGAAGGGACAACCCCAGAGCCGCCTTTTGTTAACCAAAAGCTGCAGGTGGGTTCTGTGGTGGCACTGCCCTGTGCTCAGGGCTCAGGCTGGCACTGCTGCCCCTCCTTTGTGCAGGGAGCACCAACCCTGGGCAGTTTGGGCATTTCCCACGAGCAGCGGCGCTGAGCACCCGTCCCTGTGTCCCCCCTGTCTGTGTGTCCCCCCCGTGTCCCCCCGTGCCCCAGGGGAGACTGCAGACACCCTGATGTGCCTCCGGTACTGCAAGGAGAGGGGAGCCCTGCCCTCACCTTGGGCAGCACAGCAGCCTGGCCCAGGTGAGTTTTTATTAACCAGGAAACAAATCAAGTTGATTTTTGCTGAAGGGACAACCCCAGAGCCGCCTTTTGTTAACCAAAAGCTGCAGGTGGGTTCTGTGGTGGCACTGCCCTGTGCTCAGGGCTCAGGCTGGCACTGCTGCCCCTCCTTTGTGCAGGGAGCACCAACCCTGGGCAGTTTGGGCATTTCCCACGAGCAGCGGCGCTGAGCACCCGTCCCTGTGTCCCCCCTGTCTGTGTGTCCCCCCCGTGTCCCCCCGTGCCCCAGGGGAGACTGCAGACACCCTGATGTGCCTCCGGTACTGCAAGGAGAGGGGAGCCCTGACCGTGGGCATCACCAACACCGTGGGCAGCTCCATCTCCCGCGAGACCGACTGCGGCGTGCACATCAACGCGGGCCCCGAGATCGGCGTGGCCAGCACCAAGGTGAGCCCCAGGGGCAGCTGCTGCCTCCTGGCCTGCATTTCATTTGTATTTGTTATTTTATTGACTTTTATTTTTGAATTTTAATAGGTTTTAAATTGAATTTTAATTTGTTAAAATGTGATATTTATTTATTTTTAATTTTATTTAGTTTTTTTAATTTTGAATTTTAATAGATTTTTAATTGAATTTTAATTTGTTAAAATGTGATATAAAATTTTTTTGTTTTATTTTAATTAATTTATTTTATTATTTTATTTTGAAAATTTTAAATATTTGATTAAAATGTTTGTTTTATTTTATTTAAATTTATTTTATTTCATTTATTTTATTTTTATTAATTAATTTTTTTAGATAAGATAAATTGTAAAACTTGAGTTTTATTTTATATTTATTTTATGTCAATTTTGTTTATTTTTAAAACCTGATTTTAAAAAGTTATTTTTATTTTTTTAAATTCTATTTTTATTTTAATTTAATTTTATTTTTATTTAATTTTAATTTTATTTTATTATTTAAATTTATTTTATTTCATTTATTTTATTTTTATTAATTAATTTTTTTAGATAAGATAAAGGAAACTTTGCCTGCATGTAACTCCCTCACTGGCTGTGCTTTACCAAAGAAAATGGGATATTAAAACCATCCTTTTAACAAATGGGGGAATGGTCTTTTACAGAATCCCACAATTTGTGTCCACATAACAGGATTGTTCTGCCTGGGTGAGATACAGCAGAAGAGAACTTACTTTGCTGCCTTTCATTTTGGTGAAATCTGCTTTGGTTTAGTTAAATTTAGAGGCGAGATGATGTCAATCTGTTACATAAATCCAGCCAAAAACCACATTTGAGTTTAATAGTTCATTGGGGGATTGGATCATGGAAAATTCATGAGTCTCTTACAAGAAACTCTTGAAGGAGCTGTTTGTCCCTGCTGTTTTCACATGGCCAGCAGTTCCAGCTTGGAGATAAATGCCATTTTTCCTCTGACCATGTGGGGAGTTACCAAAGCTGTGCATAGAGGAAATAAGAACTTGAAAAGTTTCTGCCCTGAGGTCGCCCAGAACTTCTTTTGGAGAATATTCTGAACAGCCCAGGCATGTTGATGTGACAGCAGAGAGCTCCCACTCCCCAGCAGGCTCCTCCAGGCAGAACAAATGCAGCTTTTCTGGTTCCTTCAGAGCCACCCCGGAGCAGCCACGTGGAACTTTGCTCGTTGCTTAGTGCCAAAACCACTCCACACCTTGCTCTGACCTCTGCAGCCCTTCAGGGCCAGGCTGGCCCCAAGCCCTTTTGTCTTGGGAGGACCTCAGAGGCCAAACTGCAGCTGCAGTGTCCCTCAGGTGTCCCTCAGGTGTCCCTGTGACCGTTCCTGTCCTGGTGTGACCCCTCTTGTCACCTCCAGGATTCCCCCCAAAGGCAGGGACAGCTCTTGCAGGCAGGGGAGAGGCTGTTCCTAAAGAAGGGAGCTGGGAAATCACAGCTGCCTTTGTGTTCCCTGAGTGTAGCCCCAAAAAATCCCATCTGGTTGGGGTTGGGTGGGGTGGGCTTCCCCCAAACACCTCCAGCCAGTGCCCTGCTGCTCCCCGTGCCCTCAGAGCCACCTGCAGTGAAGCAGGACGTGGACATGGTCACAAAACAGGGTTTGGCAGTCAGCAGGGGATGTAGAATATCAAATCTTGGTTGTTGTGTCTGAATCCCCTGGGCTGTGAGCAGATCCCAGGTGAGACCTGCCCAGGTGAGACCTGCCTGGTGAGCCCAGGCTCATTTCTGCTGCTGACCTGGAAGCAGAGCAGCCTCTCTGGGCTGAGGTGGCACCTCCTGGGTGCAGCAGTGACCTTCCCTGTGCCCTGCAGGCCTACACCAGCCAGTTCGTGTCCCTGGTGATGTTTGCCCTGATGATGTGTGACGACAGGATCTCCATGCAGGAGCGGCGCAAGGAGATCATGAGGGGGCTCAAGGGGCTGCCAGGTAGGACCTGGGCCAGGGGGAGCCCAGCTGGGCTGAGCCTGGGCAGGGAGAGCTCAGCAAGGCTGGATTTGGGCAGGGGGAGCAAGCTGGGCTGGATCTAGGCAGGGGGAGCTCAGCTGGGCTGGATCTGGGCAGGGGGTGCAAGCAAGGGTGAATCTGGGTAGGGAGAGCTCAGCTAGGCTGGATCTGGGCAAAGGGAGCTCAGCAAGGCTGGATCTGGGCAGGGGGAGCTCAGCTGGGCTGGATCTGGGCAGGGGTTGCAAGCAAGGGTGAATCTGGGTAGGGAGAGCTCAGGCAGGCTAGATCTGGGCAGGGGGAGCTCAGCAAGGCTGGATCTGGGCAGGGGGAGCTCAGCTAGGCTGGATCTGGGCAGGGAGAGCTCAGCAAGGCTGGATCTGGGCAGGGGTTGCAAGCAAGGGTGAATCTGGGTAGGGAGAGCTCAGGCAGGCTAGATCTGGGCAGGGGGAGCTCAGCAAGGCTGGATCTGGGCAGGGGGAGCTCAGCAAGGCTGGATTTGGGCAGGGGGAGCCCATCTGGGCTGAGCCTGGGCAGAGAGAGCCCATCTGGGCTGAGCCTGGGCAGGGGGAGCAAGCAAGGCTGGATCTGGGCAAAGGGAGCTCAGCTGGGCTGGATCTTGGCAGGAGGAGCCCAGCAGAGCTGGACCTGGGCAGGAGGAGCCCATCTGGGCTGAAGCCTGGACAGGGGGAGCCCAGCAGAGCTGGATCTGCAGGGCTGCTCAGCTCAGCAGGGCTGGACCTTGCAGGGAGGGTGGCAGAGCTGTCACAGGTCCTCTCAGCCACGTCCTCTCAGGTGTCTCCAGGCCACCAAGCTGGGCCAGCCAAGCTCTGGGCCTGGGGGTTTTGCAGGTCACTGCTGGCTGGGGGGTGAGTGGGCTGTGAGCACACTCAGTGTGGGTTTTACCTCCCTCCAGACTTGATTAAGGAGGTGCTGAGCATGGATGATGAGATCCAGAAGCTGGCCACGGAGCTGTACCACCAGAAGTCTGTCCTCATCATGGGACGTGGCTACCACTACGCCACGTGTCTGGAGGGAGCCCTGGTACGTCCTCTTTGAGTGGCTCACACAGAGACACCCATTTCAAACCTCCCTCAGGAGCAACATCTGCTCCAGTGCAGCTGGGGAGGGAACCTTGGGAGGTTCTGATTTAATGGTTCACACAGAGACACCCATTTCAAAACTCCCTCAGGAGCAACATCTGCTCCAGTGCAGCTTGGGAGGAACATTGGGAGGTTCTGATTTAATGGTTCACACAGAGCCACCCATTTCAAACCTCCCTCAGGGGCAGCATCTGCTCCAGCGCAGCTGGGGGTGCAGCCTTGGGAGGTTCTGGTTTAATGGTTCACGCACTGCTCACCTCTGCAGCATCTGCTCCAGTGCAGCTGGGGAGGGAGCCTTGGGAGGTTCTGGTTTAATGGTTCACGCACTGCTCACCTCTGCAGCATCTGCTCCAGTGCAGCTGGGGGTGCAGCCTTGGGAGGTTCTGGTTTAATGGTTCACACACTGCTCACCTCTGCAGCATCTGCTCCAGTGCAGCTGGGGGTGCAGCCTTGGCTCTGGATTTTGGCCAGCACAGGGTTAAATGGAGCTGGGGCTGCCCCTGCATCCCTGGCAGTGCCCAAGTCCAGGTTGGGCATTGGGGCTTGGAGAAGCCTGGGATGGTGGAACTGGGTGGGCTTTAGGGTCCCTTCCAACCCAAACTGTGCCATGGTTACAAATACCTGAAATTACAAATTTAAAATTTAAAATTCGGGTAATTACAAATACCTAAAATCACACATTTAAAAGTGAGGTAATTACAAATACCTAAAATTACATATTTAAAATTTAGGTAATTACTGTTACCTAAAATTACAAATTTAAAATTCAAAATTTAAAATTTAGGTAATTACAAACACCTAAAATTACAAGTACCTCAAATTACAAATTTAAAATTTAAGTAATTACAAATACCTAATATTACAAATACTTAAAATTACAAATCCAAAGTTTAGGTAATTACAATTACCTAAAATTACAAATACCTAGAAGTCACTGTCAGATTGCCACACCCCAGCCTGCAGTGGGGTGCATGGTGCATTTTCCATTTCCTGGGAATGCTTTGCTGGACAAACTGCACCCTCATAAATGCAAAACTCAGCGTGCACTTTCCAAACCCCTGTGATGCAGTTTTTACACTGGAGTTCTCACTGCTGTCCCCACTGCCATGCAGAGGTGTCCTGTTTGCCTCTGCCTGCCCTGCCAGCCTGGGGGTGGCTCAGGGCAGGTTCTGGGGGCTCTGGTGGCACAGCTGGCAGGCACAGCTGGATGTGCTGCTGGCTGCAAACAGCCCAGCCCAGGGGCTCTGCTTGGGCCTGGGCTTGTGTTCTGCCTCACCTGCATCTGAGAAGGGCCAGGGCTGAGCTTTACAAAGTGCAGGAATTCACAGGGCTGGTTAAAAACCACGACAAGGTGGCTCAAAGTGTAATGAATTCTTTTCCCCCCTGTAGAAAATCAAAGAAATCACCTACATGCACTCGGAGGGGATCCTGGCTGGGGAGCTGAAGCACGGCCCCCTGGCCCTGGTGGACAAGCTCATGCCTGTGATCATGATCATCATGAGAGACCACACCTATGCCAAGTGCCAGAACGCTCTGCAGCAGGTCATTGCACGCCAGGTGAGGGCTGGGGGGCTGCAGAGGGGCTGCTTCTGAGAGCAGTGTCACTCACAGACACCCAGAGTGCTCACCTGGAGTCTGCAGGGCTCCAGAGGGGCTGATTCTGACAGGAAAGGAGCTCACAGACACCCAGAGTGCTCACCTGGTGTTTGCAGGGCTCCAGAGGGGCTGTTTCTGAGAGCAAAGTCACTCACAGACACCCAGAGTGCTCACCTGGTGTTTGCAGGGCTCCAGAGATGCTGATTCTGACAGGAAAGGAGCTCGCAGAAACCCAGAGTGCGCGCCTGGTGTCTGCAGGGCTCCAGAGGGGCTGATTCTGACAGGAAAGGAGTTCACAGACACCCAGAGTGCTCACCTGGTGTTTGCAGGGCTCCAGAGGGGCTGTTTCTGAGAGCAAAGTCACTCACAGACACCCAGAGTGCTCCCCTGGGGGCTGCAGGGCTCCAGAGATGCTGATTCTGACAGCAAAGGAGCTCACAGACCCAGAGTGCTCCCCTGGGGGCTGCAGGGCTCCAGAGATGCTGATTCTGACAGCAAAGGAGCTCACAGACCCAGAGTGCTCCCCTGGGGGCTGCAGGGCTCCAGAGATGCTGATTCTGACAGCAAAGGAGCTCACAGACCCAGAGTGCTCCCCTGGGGGCTGCAGGGCTCCAGAGATGCTGATTCTGACAGCAAAGGAGCTCACAGACCCAGAGTGCTCCCCTGGGGGCTGCAGGGCTCCAGAGATGCTGATTCTGACAGCAAAGGAGCTCACAGACCCAGAGTGCTCCCCTGGGGGCTGCAGGGCTCCAGAGATGCTGATTCTGACAGCAAAGGAGCTCACAGACCCAGAGTGCTCCCCTGGGGGCTGCAGGGCTCCAGAGATGCTGATTCTGACAGCAAAGGAGCTCACAGACCCAGAGTGCTCCCCTGGGGGCTGCAGGGCTCCAGAGATGCTGATTCTGACAGCAAAGGAGCTCACAGACCCAGAGTGCTCCCCTGGGGGCTGCAGGGCTCCAGAGATGCTGATTCTGACAGCAAAGGAGCTCACAGACCCAGAGTGCTCCCCTGGGGGCTGCAGGGCTCCAGAGATGCTGATTCTGACAGCAAAGGAGCTCACAGACCCAGAGTGCTCCCCTGGGGGCTGCAGGGCTCCAGAGATGCTGATTCTGACAGCAAAGGAGCTCACAGACCCAGAGTGCTCCCCTGGGGGCTGCAGGGCTCCAGAGATGCTGATTCTGACAGCAAAGGAGCTCACAGACCCAGAGTGCTCCCCTGGGGGCTGCAGGGCTCCAGAGATGCTGATTCTGACAGCAAAGGAGCTCACAGACCCAGAGTGCTCCCCTGGGGGCTGCAGGGCTCCAGAGATGCTGATTCTGACAGCAAAGGAGCTCACAGACACCCAGAGTGCTCACCTGGCTGTCACTGCCCACCTGTGAGCTCCCTGAGTACTGTGCCCATTTCACAGCAGTTCTTGCAGTAGATGCTGATTCTGACAGGAAAGTCACTCACAGACACCCAGAGTGCTCACCTGGAGTCTGCAGGGCTCCAGAGATGCTGATTCTGACAGGAAAGGAGCTCACAGACACCCAGAGTGCTCACCTGGCTGTCCCTGCCCACCTGTGAGCTCCCTGAGTACTGTGCCCATTTCACAGCAGTTCTTGCAGCAATTGCAGAAGCCTGGCACGGTCTGTTTAACCCTTAAATCCCCTCAGGGCACGTGAAGCTGTTTGGTTCTAAATCAAGTGATAGATTTTGCACTGAACCTCCCAGGTGTGCTTCCCTTCAGCCCTCCCCTGTGTTGCAGGGCCGGCCCGTGGTGATTTGTGACAAGGAGGACATCGAGACCATCAAGAACAACAAAAGAACAATCAAAGTGCCCCACTCGGTGGATTGCCTGCAGGGCATCCTGAGCGTCATCCCCCTGCAGCTGCTGGCCTTCCACCTGGCCGTGCTCCGCGGCTACGATGTGAGTACAGCAGCCCTGTGTCACCCCTGTGTCACACACCCTGCCTGTGTCACACCCTGCCTGTGTCACACACCCTGCCTGTGTCACACACCCTGCCTGTGTCAAACACCCTGCCTGTGTCACGCCCTGCCTGTGTCACACACCCTGCCTGTGTCCCCATCCCTGTGTCACACCCTGCCTGTGTCCCCATCCCTGTGTCACACCCTGCCTGTGTCCCCATCCCTGTGTCACACCCTGCCTGTGTCCCCATCCCTGTGTCACACCCTGCCTGTGTCCCCATCCCTGTGTCACACCCTGCCTGTGTCCCCATCCCTGTGTCACACCCTGCCTGTGTCCCCATCCCTGTGTCACACCCTGCCTGTGTCCCCATCCCTGTGTCACACCCTGCCTGTGTCCCCATCCCTGTGTCACACCCTGCCTGTGTCCCCATCCCTGTGTCACACCCTGCCTGTGTCCACATCCCTGTGTCACACATCCCTGTGTTACACACCTTGGGTACAGCAGCCCTGTGTCACCCTGCCTGTGTCCACATCCCTGTGTCACACACCCTGTGTCACACACCCCTGTGTCACACCCCTGTGTCACACACCCTGCCTGTGTCACACCCTGTGTCATACACCCCTGTGTCACACATCCTGAATACAGCAGCCCTGTGTCACACACCCTGCCTGTGTCACACACCCCTGTGTCATACACCCTGGGTACATCATCCCTGTGTCACACCCCCTGTATCACACCCCCTGTGTCACACACCACCTGTGTCACACACCCCCTGTGTCACACACCCTGCCTGTGTCACACACCCCTGTGTCACACCCCCTGCCTGTATCACACACCCTGCCTGTGTCACACACCCCTGTGTCACACCCCTGTGTCACACATCCTGAATACAGCAGCCCTGTGTCACACTTGTGTCACATCCCTGTGTCACACATCCCTGTGTCACACACCCTGGGTACAGCATCCCTGTGTCAGACCCCCTGTGTCAGACCCCCTGTGTCACACACCCCTGCCTGTGTCACACACCTGTGTCACACCCCCTGCCTGTGTCATACCCCCTGCCTGTCACACACCCTGTGTCACACACCCTGGGTACAGCATCCCTGTGTCGCACACCCCTGCCCGTGTCACACCCCTGTGTCACACTCCCTGTGTCACACCCCCTGTGTCACACACCCCTGTGTCACACCCCCTGTGTCACACACCCCTGCCCGTGTCACACCCCCTGTGTCACACCCCCTGCCTGTGTCACACCCCCTGGGGCTGCTGCGGGGCTGGGGGCTTCTCTGTGCCGCTGCTTGAGCTGCTGCAGGGCCCGGCCCACGGGGCCAGCTGGGGACTGCAGGAGTGGCCGTGTGCAGGAGCAGGCTGCAGGGAGCTCCAGGGAAGGTGGCAGCCCTCAGGGGCTGCTTGGCAAGCAGTCTGCTGTGTGATCTCAGTGCAGACACTGGCCCCTGGCTGCCAGCAGGGACCTCTGGGAGCAGCCTGGGCTAAAGCTCTGCCTACTTCTGACCCAGGAGATGTAACAAAACAAGGTTGTGAACTTCTTTTCTGCACTGATTGGCCTAAATGAACGTGAGGATGTGTTGGATGGAAGGCAGAGCAGGCATTGCACAGGTTACAGAGTTAAACACAAACAAACCCAGTGTGTAAATACTCACCAGCCTGTTCTTTCTCCTCCCTCTCTGCAGGTTGATTTTCCAAGAAATCTGGCCAAGTCCGTAACTGTAGAGTGAAAGATCATCTGAATCATAGGGGCAAAGGGGAATTCAATGAAAGACTTTTTTTGGTACCAAAATAACTCGATTTTAAAGCCCCCTAGGTAAATCTTATTTTGGTAAATCGTTGTTTGTGTACAAGATCACCATAATTCCATTGCATTAGTGATTGTCCAGTTGATTCCACATCAATAGCTCTGGATTTTTTTTTTTCTTTTTGGATCAATAGACTTCCACGAAAGATGTTAAATGGTTTTCCTTAAAGATTGCTGAGTCCTCTAGGTGAGGGGTTACTCTGAGCTGGTGTCATTGTCCCTTCCCTGACTGATGGGAAAGCTCTGAAGGATTCTCAGTGCCCTGTGGTGCTCCCAGGCAGTGGAGCAGGACCCCAGGACACACAACTGGAAC